GTCCCCAGGGGCATACAAGACAGCCACCCCACCAGGATACAAGCCGGGGTCACCACCCTCCTTCCGAACGGGGACCCCACCAGGCTACCGAGGCGCCTCGCCGCCCGCAGGCCCAGGGACCTTCAAGCCAGGCTCGCCCACCGTGGGGCCTGGGCCACCCCTGCCGCCGGCAGGGCCCTCGGGCCTGTCATCCTTGCCACCACCGCCTGCTGGCCCTGCCTCAGGGCCGCCCCTGAATGCCACGCAGATCAAGCAGGAGCCGGCTGAGGAATATGAGACCCCCGACAGCCCAGTGCCCACGGTCCGCAGCCCCTCGCCCCCTCCCAAGGTGGTGGATGTCCCCAGCCACGCCAGTCAGTCAGCCAGGTGAGTGGGGCGCGGGTGAATGGGCAGGCCTGGGATGGGGAACAGCAAAGGGGTGACGGAGATAGGGAGGCGGCACAGGAGGAGGAGTGCTTGCGTTTGTGCGGCGCTTTTAAAACTACTGCAGACCTTCGACCCTCCTTCCCAGCCGCCGGGGGCCGACTTTGGGCGGGAGTCACCCCTGGGCCACACTCAGGGGCTAAGCGCGCGCGCGCTGCCTCCGCACCCCGGTAGGTTCAACAAACACCTGGATCGCGGCTTTAACTCGTGCGCGCGCAGCGACTTGTACTTTGTGCCACTGGAGGGCTCCAAGCTGGCCAAGAAGCGAGCCGACCTCGTGGAGAAGGTGCGGCGCGAGGCCGAGCAGCGCGCGCGCGAAGAAAAGGAGCGCGAGCGCGAGCGGGAACGCGAGAAAGAGCGAGAGCGCGAGAAGGAGCGCGAGCTTGAACGGAGCATGGTAAGTGCGTCATCACGTGCGCTTCCCGCCTTACGGCTCTCCATTTGGGCCGCGCTGGGAGGCTCGAGGGGCGGGACGTCATTGCGCCACCTCTTGGGGAGGAGGAAGCACTGCATCCTAGGAAATGGAGACCGAAGGATTCCTGCGAAAGGACTGCCTGCCTGGGTTGGCTGAAGGACAGCCCAGGTCAGATTACATGTGGATTGTAAGAACAACCACTACTTAGGAGAAGGAGTTAGGGAAGTTCCTGGTAGGCTGCATTAAGCTGTTGAGGTAAATGAGTAGTTTAGGACTGGCTGCCTTTTACAGAACTGCTTTTCTGACTCTTCTCTATACCCCACAGAAGTTGGCTCAGGAGGGACGTGCTCCAGTGGAGTGTCCATCTCTCGGCCCTGTGCCCCATCGCCCTCCGTTTGAGCCGGGCAGTGCTGTGGCTACAGTGCCCCCCTACCTGGGTCCTGACACTCCAGCCCTGCGTACTCTCAGTGAATATGCCCGGCCCCACGTCATGTCTCCTGGCAATCGCAACCACCCGTTCTACGTGCCCCTGGGGGCAGTGGACCCGGGGCTCCTGGGTTACAATGTCCCAGCCCTGTACAGCAGTGATCCAGCCGCCCGGGAGAGGGAGCGGGAAGCCCGAGAACGAGACCTCCGTGACCGCCTCAAGCCTGGCTTTGAGGTGAAGCCCAGTGAGCTGGAACCCCTACATGGGGTCCCTGGGCCAGGCCTGGATCCCTTCCCCCGGCATGGGGGCCTGGCTCTGCAGCCTGGCCCACCCGGCCTGCACCCTTTCCCGTTTCATCCAAGCCTGGGGCCCCTTGAGAGGGAACGTCTGGCGCTGGCCGCTGGGCCAGCCCTGCGGCCTGACATGTCCTACGCAGAGCGTCTGGCAGCTGAGAGGCAGCATGCAGAAAGGGTGGCAGCCTTGGGCAATGACCCGCTGGCCCGGCTGCAGATGCTCAATGTGACCCCCCATCACCACCAGCACTCCCACATCCACTCTCACCTGCACCTCCACCAGCAGGATGCCATCCATGCAGGTGAGACTCCTACTTCCTTCCTTGACCCATTGGGGCCACCTTGCGCCCCCCCAGCAAGTGATTGGGCTCCTCTGTTCCTCAAACCAGGACTTCTCTGTCTGCCATGAGCCTCTCTATTGAGTGCTGCCCTGATCTTTGCCTCCCTGTCACCCGTCAGCCTATCACCTCATACCCTACCCTTGCCACAGAGACTTCCTTACACCCCCATCTTCAGAGTCACGCATCTCAACCATGATAGAGCCACGAGCTGGAAAACTGAAAGAGCACCACCTTTCTACCATTACAGCCTCTCACACACCTGTCTTGTTCCTCTGGATTCAGCTCTGTCATGGCTTCTTGCCAGCTTCCCCCAGTTGGAGGTCTTTTATGTTCCTCCCCCATTTCTGTGCCTTTTCAGAAAGAGCCTTGTAACTGTGGTTGTGGGCATCCTAGGTGATAATGAGCTTAGCTTACTATTCCTTCACTATATTTATACTCATGTTCATCCAAGTGTCTTCTTAGGCTTTCTCTCTTAACCTCCATTTTCTTCCTGTCTCATTTTCTAAACTTTCTATCCTCTTCCATCTCCTCTAAACAGTCCACTTCTCTCTTTCCTTTTCCTCAGATCCCTCTGACAACTGTAATCTGCCCTCTGCCGTCAGTGTGTCCCTGATCTAGTGATGTCTTCGTATATACTGTCTCTTGTGCCTCCTCGTTCCACTCTGGATCTCCCTGTGTTTGATTTTCCATCTCTCTTCCTAGGCTTGGATCCCTTCACCTACATGCATGGTTTTCCCCAAACCTGCCTTCTGGTGACACCTTCCTCTTCTCTACCCTCCAGCCTCTGCCTCGGTGCACCCTCTCATTGACCCCTTGGCCTCAGGGTCTCACCTTACCCGGATACCCTACCCAGCTGGGACCCTTCCGAACCCCCTTCTTCCTCACCCTCTGCACGAGAACGAAGTTCTTCGTCACCAGCTCTTTGGTAAGGATGGGGAAGGTCTAATGAGGGAAGGGCAGAAAGGAGGAATTTGGGTGGTGAGATTGGCCTAGTGGGGTTTGGGAAAGGTAAGGAGGCACCCAGAGGAGCTGGGAATGGGAGTAGACCCTGCCCAAGAGAGACATAGGTTTTAGTGCCAGGCTAAGAAGTTTGAATCCTAACTCCACCACTGACATTTTGCAGGACTGGCTATTAGCCAACTTTTCTAGTCTAGTTTCCTCTGTATGTAAAACGGTTGGCTGTCTCCTGGCTTGGAGTAGGTCATCAGTACCCCATCAGTTATGCACCCCCCTACCCTTCTTGCCCGCAGCTGCTCCTTACCGGGACCTGCCAGCTTCCCTCTCTGCCCCAATGTCAGCAGCTCACCAGCTGCAGGCCATGCACGCGCAGTCCGCTGAGCTGCAGCGCTTGGCGCTAGAGCAGCAGCAGTGGTTGCACGCCCATCACCCGCTGCACAGTGTGCCGCTACCCGCCCAGGAGGACTACTACAGGTACTACTGGGCACCCCTGGTCCAGGGGTGAAGGGGTGTAAGCCTGGGATGGGGTGTGGGTGTGCACGTGGGCCAGGCTCGTCGGGGAGGGATCCCCTCCTCCACCATCTTCTGTGAGAGGGATCAGGTCAGGTTTGAATTCAGTCTCTCATCTCTGTTCTGCACCTTGTCTCTCCCCAGTCACCTGAAAAAGGAAAGTGACAAGCCGCTGTAAACCTGCAGTCAAGAGCAGCCATGGCCCGAGTATGCATCTGGACCTTGGAGGTCTCCCTCCTGGCCTGCCACCCAGAGCAAGGAGGGGTGCTGCTCAGTTGCAGGGCCTCGGCAGCTGGGCAGAGGGAGGGAGGAAGGGACAGATGGAAGGCCAAGGCTCCTGTGGTGTGCAGAGGTGGGGAGGTGGCAGGGGTGGGGGCAGAAAGCGCACAGTATCTTGGACCAGGTCCTTCTTCCTTGTCCCCCGGCTTTCTTCCTCTCCCGTGCCCAATCCCTGTGGCCACCATGCCCTCCCCAACCTCGTTGGTGTGATTATTTCATCTGTTAGATGTGGCTGTTTTTGCGTAGCATTGTGTGCCACCCCTGCCTCTCCCCAGTCCCTGTGTGCGCGCCCCCTCTGCAATGTATGCTCCTTGCCCCTGCCCCACATTAATAATTTATATATAAATATCTATATGACGCTCTTTAAAAACATCCCAACCAAAACCAACCAAACAAAACATCCTCACAACTCCCCAGGAAGATGGCTGTGACTCTTTATTTGCGGGCTATGGGGGCGGGGCCTCAAGAGAGACCAGCTGGGAAGTTGGAAGGGATGGGCCTTCCAAAACTGGGTGGAGGGACCCTGGACAGCTGGAGAGGGGACCCCTGAAGGTAGTCCCCTCCTTCCTCCCAAGGCTGGGAAGTCAGGATGCTGGAGGCCTGGGACAGGCACGCCGCTGCCAAGGTCAGTTCTAGGAAATGCTCAAGACTTGAGGCGGTTCTGCTACTGGTCTGACAGCTAGGAGCCACCAGTCTGAATCTTCCATACAATCATTTGAGACACGGTTATGAAGCGGAGGCGAAGGGGCTAGGGTTTCAACAGATCAACTAGATAAAAATCTAAGAGTCTTTACCCTATGGTTTGAGAAGAGCAGCTGACAATTTTAAACGCCTAGAGAAGAGAAATTAGAGGGCGTTACACTAGCATACGTTTCTAAATAGGCCCTTTTAGGAAACTGCGATAGCTCTTTCAGTTCCAAGCTTTTACTGCTACGAATCACCGTCTCCGTTCTTAAAAAACTAAAGGGTGTGACTAGCTTCTTTTAGCCAATCAGCATCGATCTAATTTGCATAAACTCGCTTCAAATATTAAGAAACTCTAGGGATGAATGATATAAGTTCCTCAGACTACTGTTTTTCCTTGTGAATGTTACAGTGCACCTCGTCGCTTATACAGCAATAAGAATTAGAGAAGGCCGCTCTGAGCTCACCCTCACCAATAGTGGAGTTCATGGATATTCCATGTTCTCTCCAGACCACTTCCTGTAGTGCTTACAGCTCTTTTTGAATTTGTCTAGTAGGTCTTCCTGTCTTTACCGGAAGACCCACTATTATATGAGTTAGACTAAACAATAGAATGTGGTTTAACAGGGTATGTTTACTTTTGTTTATGTATTTTTTTTAGCTTATAGTGGAGGTACGTAAGAGAATAAATTGCAGTGAAGTTACAGTGACCGGACTTCCGGTTGCGAGTAATACCGCTTTCCGTCCTTAAGCAGCGTGGATACTCTACTTTAGGGACGGTTCTGGTTTTCGCCCCCCCCCCCCGGGACGCTCCCCCTCCCTGGTCGTTTCTTTGGTTCTGCTGTACGTGCGACCATTGTTGCACCATGGCGGCTGCTTCGGCCCAACCTGCGGCCCTGAGCGCCGAACAGGCCAAGGGTGAGAACCGTTCTCCCCATCTAGGGGGCTGCATGCGGGAGGACGGTGCGGGTGGGGGATAACAGAGACTTTCGCTGCTGGGAATCGGGGAGCGGGGGTTACCATCGTTTTTTCTTCCTCCAAGAAGGAGAATCTAGAGCGAGGGATTCCGGGCCGTGTTTGTCGGGCTACTACGGCTTCGGTCCACTAATTAATTCCCTGACCTCTTCCTTGCTTTGTCGACTGGGTCTGCTGGCAATGCTCCGATGCCCTCACCCCCGTCCCGCCCGGGACGCCACCCTGGGTTGCATCTGCCACACAGTGGTCCTGGCCGAGGTGATCCAGGCGTTTTCGGCTCCTGAGAACGCCGTACGCATGGACGAGGCTCGAGACAATGCATGCAACGACATGGGCAAGATGCTGCAATTCGTGCTGCCGGTGGCCACACAGATTCAGCAGGAGGTTATCAAAGCCTACGGCTTCAGCTGCGACGGGGAAGGTGGGCCGGACAGGGGATGGGGTGGGTGGTGGAGTGAACCTGGGAGAAACGGTGCTGAATCAGTTTGGTCGCTGAGCTGTCGTCCCCATTCTGGCCACACGGCGGCAGCCACAATCTGATTAACAGTATTGGCACTGAGGACCTGGGGTCTTTACTGAACTCTACCAGGTGAAGTCCGAAGTGCATTTTGTAGTTAACATTAATTATACTATTACTCCACTTTAAGATGACGAAACAGACTCTTGTAGTAAACTAAGTGCCAGAGGTCAAAGCAGAGGTGGACCTGAACCCTGTTCTGGAAGCTTTTAATGACATGTCTGCTTGAGGACAGAAGGCTTCTTCAACACCTCCAACGTGTTTCAGTTTATCTGTCCTTGAGGGTTGGAAGTTCATTTTCTTCGATGAGATCTGATTTAGGCCAGGTGGCCCATGGCCCTCCTGTGTTGTGGTTATAGACATCGGATCTCCTGGGTGTTCATACTTTGTGTTTCTGATACTAAATTGCTAAAATTGTTCACCTGGTATTGAGAAGTACATTGCTTTGGCATATTTCCATTCACTGCATGCCATTTAGCTGTATAGACCAGGAAGGTGCCCTGTATAGACCAGGAAGTGGTTGATCCAAACCTCACAGGACAGAGACCTTGCATGTGCCTTGTTTTGCAGGCAGCTATCTGGCCAGAAGGGGAGCAGCCAGTGACTCCTATTCAAGCTACCCGCCTCCTTGCCTTGGGCACCTCCATTCCCTGGGGATATGGGTTGATGCTTGATCCCCCTTGCAGGTGTTCTTAAGTTTGCCCGCTTGGTCAAGTCTTATGAAGCCCAGGATCCCGAGATTGCCAGCCTGTCCGGCAAGCTGAAGGCGCTGTTCCTGCCACCCATGACACTGCCGCCCCACGGGCCTGCTTCGGGTGGTAGCGTCGCTGCCTCCTGAGGGTTGGCCTTCCCTGTGACACTTTCTGGGAAGGGAAAATCTTGATGTCCTAGAGGATAATAAACATGCCTGTGACAGCCTCAGCGTCAGTCTTTTGTGATCTGACAACCCCACCTCCCAGCCGCAGATTCCTTCTGTCATTCTAGCTACTCATCTTCCTGTCCAGATCTTTCTTGTACTCTTGCTGGGCCCAACCCTGTTACAAGGCAGGGTTGGAGAGTGGGCCGGCTCCTCCACATCCTGGGTGGGTAGGCCTGCACAGGCAGCACCTCTGCTGAGGAGTGGGGCTTTCTGGGCTTTTCCTGAGGCTCCTTGGTGGCTGTGGACCAAGAGGCTCCCCATTGGTTGGTGTTCCATTGGCCAGGGTTACTTCCTGGTCTTTGCCCCCACCCGCCCTCCTGCTGCCCTGCCAGCTGGAGCTCCAGGTGGAGCTCCAGGTGGCTCCTCCCCTCCCAAGGGAAGGAGGCCCTGGACAGGCAGGCGGCAGCCCTGGACTCCCGACCAAGGAGTAGAGCTGGAGGGAAAAGCAGGCTGCTGTGGGTGGTCTGAGGCCAGCCCCACCCTACCTGTCCCTTTTCTGGGGATCATTGGTCCAGAGGCTTGTTCCTGCTGTACCATTGGCCTGGTGGACAGCAATTGAGGAGGAAGTGGCTGAGTTCAGAGCATTTTTCACCAGGTTTGGGCCACTACACAGCTGCACCTTGGGTTCAGCCCCACCCTTTGTGGTCTGCTGCGTGTGACACCCCCACCCCTTGGGGGAGATGCTGTCTCGTGGGTAAGTCTCCTGTTCCACCTGGGTGCTACAGTCTCCTGTTAATTTAAGGAAGGAAGGGGCAAAATTCATGCTCATTCCTGACAGGTGTGTGACCATGAATGCAGTTTGTCACAGCTCCCTGCCCTGGGCCTGCACCAAGTTTTGAGGAACTCCAGGCTCATTCATGCTCCTGGGTGGGAGGCTCCCCCTTTCTCTAGCACTTTTTCCCTGGCAGATGTGTGTTCTCACGATTGCATTTCTCTCTCTACCTTCTGGTCTCCTGCTTCTGCTCTCTGCTCAAGGCCTGTCCGGCTGGGTAGCCCACATCACCCGTAACAATGTGTCTTAACAACGAACCTGAGAAAGCTTGCCTTCATCCCACTTTCTTTCAGTTCCCCTTCACTTCCCTTCCCCTGCATCATTCATTCAGCAGATGTGAGCATCTGTTATGTGCCCGGTGCTTCTTAAGGTGCTGGCCATACTGTAGCGCAGTGATTTTCAACCTTTTTCGCCTCATGGCATATATGAACTGATTACTAAAATTCTGCGGCACACTGAAAAAACATGTTTTTGCCGATCTGGCCAAAAAAAGAAAAGATATAGTTTTGATTCATTCATACTGGACAGTTATTGTTGTGTTGGCTGTTGTCATTTTTAGAAAAATATGACAATCTAAGGGAAAAGAGGTCAGAGCCCCTGACTATGTAGTCAGGCATTGCATGTTTTAAAAATTCTTGTGGCGCTCTGGTGTACATGTCCCTGCTCTCACAGAGCTCCACTTCAGTGGGAGGCAATAGACTGCACAAAGAACCCAATAAATAGGGTCATTTCAGATTCTCAGAGTGACATGAACAACAGGTGACTGGGGCTGCCGCTTGAGGAGTAGCTTGAGGAGTCAGGGAGGGCTTTCCTGAGGAGGGGACGAGCTGGGACCTAGAAGAGCCAGCCCCAGCCCAGCACCCTGGGCAGAGGGAATGGTGTTGCTGTGGGGACAATGACACAAGGACAGAATACCCTAAGTAAACTAGCAGAGGAGGGCAGGGCCGAGGCAGGCCTGTTCGAGCCTGGATCTTACAGTGAAGACCTGCTTGGAGTGTGGGCCTGCTTGGCGTGTTGGTCACCCCCTTCTTTTCCATTCGTGCTGCCTGCCCCAGTGCACAGCTTGTCACTGCCAGCGGGTTCTTAGCCAACCTATTGGTTTCCCTGCTCCCTTTTATTTTATTTTAGTTTTTGAGATACAGGGTTCTTATCCAGCCTTCTGGTCTCCCTTTTATTTTATTTAGTTTTTTGAAATCCATCGATTGGTTGCCCCTCAACAGGGGACCTGGCCCTCAACTCAGGCCTGTGGTCTGACCAGCAGTCCAACCTGCGACCTTTCGGTTCCTAGGCTGGCGCTCTGCCCACTGAGCCACACCAGCCAGGGCTACCCTGCTCCCTTTTATATGCCTGCCATGGTCATTTTCCTACTAAATGGCTGGTAAAGTCTCTCCTGGTGCAGAATCCTTCCTTGGTTCCTCAGCCTGTTGAAGGATCCTCTGCAACAGGCCCAGCCTCTCAGAGCAGCTTTGCAGCAGCGGGGTGCTCTCTCACACCCAGCCCTGCTCAAGTGGGTCCTGCGCCTGCCACCTGGGTGCTGCCTCCTGGGAGCACCAGCCTTCTGGCTTCCCCCGTGGGCCAGGCCAGCGCTCTCCCACTCCCCAGTGAAGCTCACTCCAGCAGTGCGGGCAGCGTGCCGGCAAGGACGGCAGGCTCTGGTGTCAGACGGCCTTGGTGTGTCTGCCTTCTCGCTCATGAGCTTGTGACCTTGGGCAAGTTGTTTAACTTCTCTGAGCCTTCATCTTTGTTCCTCAAATTGGGCTAATGAGACCTACTAAACAGGGTTGGCATATGGATTAATTTGTAATGTAAAACCCTACTACATATCAGTTTTTTGTATCAGTATGTGGGAAGTATTGTTAAGCCCATTTATCAGGTGCGGAGGCTGAGGCTCGAGGAAGCTCAATAACTTTTTTGAGATTATTTTGCCTTGTTTGCTCTTCTAGACTGTCTTTTTGCATCACCACTGATCTCTGTGTCTCTACCTTTATCTCCCTGCTTCCCAAGTGAATAATTTTTTCTTCCGAACTATTAGACACTTACTTTTGTAACTCTCAGTCTCATTGAGCCTGTTTTCCTCCCTTTAAAAAATGGGGAAAATAATTCCTACATCACAGGGATGCACAGGACCCACTTGAGCAGGGCTGGGTGTGAGAGAGCGCCCGGCTGCTGCAAAGGTGCTCTGTGAGGCCCAGGTGGAACTGCGTGTGTGCAAGTGCTCTGCAAACACCAGGGTGCTTACGCCAGGGTAAGGAAGGTGCCTGGTAGTCATTTTCCTGTTAAAGGGACATCAGAGACTGTACGTCTTACCTTAGTGTCTGTCTTCTAGCTTGACACCCTTCAGAAAAATTCCTGCCTCTTCCATGGGTCAAAGCCTAGCTAGTTTCTTCCTACCCAGTGGGTTTAAGCCCCAGAAGGACAGTGGCCTGGGGCTGGGATGCAGCAGGTGTTCAGTGCTGAGCATGGACCTGCAACTTTGTGTGGAGTCAGGATGGTTTGGAAGGCAGCTATACTCCCTACTATACCACCAACACAACTCCAAGTGGGTATTTGCACCGGACCAAGTATGTGTGTAGATGGACATGGGGGACGAGGTGCATGTAGTGGGACTGTGTGTACATACACGGATGATTGTGTGTGTGTGTGTGTGTGTGTGTGTGTGTGTGCATGTCTGTATATGACAAGCCAGGGGTGTATATTTGTAGGACCAGGAGCTGGACCTGTGGCCATATAGGTGTATGGGTATTGATGAGCTTGGTTTTTGGACATGTACCCTGTGCAAGGCATTGTGCTCAGCTTTGAGCACTTGCAGGTGAGCAACACTGGCCGTGGGCCCCCTGTGGTAGAGCGGACCATGCAGCTGCTCTTGCCCTTGCTGTGAGAGAGAGCTCATGATCTTCCAGTGTGGTTGTTCCAGGCTGAAGGGACCGTCAGTGTTAGACCGTGCAGTAAACAGGCTGAGCGAGTTCCCCAGGTACCAGAAAGGGGGATAAAAAGCCCTCAAGTGGAAATTGATGTTTCAAAAAAAATGACATAGTAGTCATCATAGGGAAAATAGACTGTTGTTGGGCTTTAACATTGTTATTTATTTTTCCTTATTTTTTATTGAGGTATGATATACATAATGTGCATGAATATTAAGCATAGAGCCTGATGAATATCACATTAACACACGCTCATGTATGCGCCACCCAGATCAAGATGCAGGGCATTACCAACACTGCAGAACTTTCCTGAAAATTGCATTCTCCCCGTGAATTTATTTTTTTGAAGGTAATGCCTGACCATGCTGCAACTTTCAAAAAGGTGTAAGGGAGAAGTCAATGTCCCTCCCAGCCCTCTCTTTCGGCCAGCCCAGGCTCCTCCCTCGGGGAGGCCACCAACATGAGTTTCTTGTATATTCTTTGTTGGGCTTCTTTCACCTCCTTTTGGTTGGGCGGTGTTTGTGTTTGTATTAGAATTACACAGAGGGCATCGTGGGCTTTTCGTGTTTATGGCCGTTCAAGGTCAGCCAGCCCTGGGAGTATCAGCCCCGGCAGGGACCTGGGCCCCAGCCCCAGGAGGCAGGCCCCTGATTGTCTGGAGCTCCGGCTCATTCACACCAGACCCACTTGGCAAGAAGCTATGACTCAGGCGTGGGGTGGTTGGGCCCAAGGGGCCTGGCAACTCTGTCCCCGCCTGCTTCCCCCACTCTGCACATCACCCCATTTTGTTTCTGGACTCCGACCACATCGCTGAGGCAGGGCAGGGGCAAAGGCCTGAGGACAAGAACTAGGAAAGGTGCAAGCTTGACAGGCTGCGCAGGGGCCATTGTGTCCATCCCTCTGCCCCCGCTGCACCGATTCAGATGTGTATGCCGGGAAGGCAAGGGCACCGCTCCCTTTGTGAGCCTCTGCATGTCTTGCCTGTTAGGGACTCTCCCCCTCCTGTGGCAGCCTCCATGGAAGAAGAGGCTCCCACCCTCTGTTTTGTGAAGCGCAGAGAGCTGGCTCACCAGCTGGATGACCTTGGGCAAGTTCCCTAGACTCCCTGAGCCTCAGGTTCCTTGTCTATAAAATAGGGATAGAGATGGTCCCTGCCTCATAGGGCTACTGTGTGAGGAGTGAATCAGGTGGGATTCCTAAGGCACAGTGCCCGGCATATGGTAAGATTCCATTAAATGGTAGTGATCACCATGACCATTACTATTAGTTCGGACCAGGGAAGGCTGTGTGGAGCAGCGAG